GCTCCGAGTTGGCCCGGCACTCCCGGTTCTGCCTTGATGGTTCTTGGAGCTGGGCTGGCACTCACAGCTAGGCTGTGTTGTTCTTGAACATAGCAATTTTTCACAGCAAGAACATTAGACAAGGCCGCTCCGTGTCCATAACGCGTCCAGAAGACCCCTCCATAGCTGAGTACGAACATTGTTGGAGCCACAGTAATGACTGAACACATCCCCATCCTGGCAGACGTATCAGTCACAGCTTTAGCCGAGCTTCGTTCTTCCTTCCTCATGCTAGAGTAACATTATAGAATCAAAGGATTAGATAGAATTCATAGAATCATAGATTTCCCTCACTTCCCGACAGCACCCAATCCAGAGCAAAGCCCCTTTTTGAACCTTTCCCCAGAGCACCTAGCACTGCCCAAATCCTCTAAGTCCTTTCTAACAGCCTGTCAGTAAAATGCTGCAGGGTTCTCCGTGGTACCTATTCTTCCTAGCTGCAGCTTGCTGAACTAGAGATGTGTTCCTCCTGCTGCCTGGCTCAAGGGAATTCACGTCCGAGAACTTTGGTCTCTCTTTTTTTCTTTTTTTGATATAGTTTAGAGTTAAAATCACCATCATCAAGCTTTTCTGGCTAATTTCTTACTGGTCAAGGGTAAGTTTTAGTTCCATATACCATATTTTACTCAAAAAACACATGCTTTCTATGTTTGTTCCCCTTGCGAGGTATTTTTGTAAGCTCCACTATGCCAATTTTTTTTACATGTTGCTGTAAAAAAAATTAGCATAGCACGCTTGTGAAGATACCTCGTGAGGGGAGGGTGAGGTTGGCAAATGTAGAAGGTGTGCATTATCCGTGTAAAAGTACGGTAATTAGTTTTTGATCATTGACATTGGCATTTTTAAAAAGTTATGACTCTGTTATGTAGGAGGTGCTGTAGAAAAAAAAAACATAAAGAAGATCCTAAAGACTGCTTATAAATCAGAGAGGCTTATTTCCAGTGAGAATGTTTGAACTTAATTTTTTTCTCCTTTAGTAAACTATTGTTGGATAATTGTGTGTGTGTGTGGGGGGTAGCTTATTATATATATATGGGGAGAAGGTAGCTTATTTTTTACACACACATGCAAGTAATTAGAATATGTAATATTGTGCAATAAACCTTAGAAAAACTTGTACTGCATTTTCTATCTTTACTTATAATTTTTCTACTCTTTGACAGAAAAATAAACATTGGCACCATGAATGTAAATTTAAAGCAGTAGTAAGAGAGGTACTTCCCCTCTCCCCCGTGGAAGTTTAAAATTTAATATTGATACGATACTATTACCTAACCCACAGCCCATAAACAAATTTCATGGTTGTCCAAATTCCCGGTAATGTCTTTTTTTAATATAATTTATTTTTGTTGTTGTTGACAATATACATAGCAGAAAACACACCAATTCAACAGTTTCTACATGTACAATTCAGTGACATCGATTACATTCTTCCAGTTGTGCAAGCATTCTCACCCTCTTTTTCCAAGTTGTTCCTCCCCCATTAACATAAACTCGCTGCCCCCTAAGTTTCCTATCTAATCTTTCAAGTTGCGGTTGTCATTTTGGTCCTGCATAGATAGATCTTAAAAGAGCACAATGCTCAAGGCAGATATTCTTTACTCGTTAAGCTAAACTATTGTTTGGTTTTAAAAAGACTTCAGGGGATCTTTTTGGTTTAAGGTTTAAAAATCATCTTAAAGCAAGAGAAGTACTTGTTATGTGTATGATTTCTCACATTGTTGCCGCCTCAGGTAGAGATTTGATTACATTAAAGGGTTAGTAACTACAGAACAGCCATAAGAGCGTTGTTTGGCATTACAACGATGGTTGAATATTGTTGCTTTAGAAACCAACTTTGTAAAAATTAGGCGACTTTGTTAATGTGTTTAGGACCAGTTATTATTGGATTAAAATTCATTTCTGCTAGCAATAATTTTTTGTTGTCTTGATATATCTTAGGAACAAAGAAGTGAGCCGGTTCTTTCATTGTATTTGTTCTGATGACAGAATTGAATGTATTTGGACCCTTTAATGCATATGCCGTTGTTTTTGGTTGTGATCCACTCTGAAAAATGTCTTAATTCATCTTTGTTCAAGTTTGGTGGAATAGAAATACATAGATGAGTAGGAGTACACCAAAGACATGCTTTTGGCATATTTATTCTGTTTAGGAGTTGGGATACTCATTGCATAAGCATTTTAGTCCAGCTTAGTGGGGAGGTGGGATGAATCATTGATCACACTAGTGTTAAAGCCTAGAAACTTTTAGGTATTAGTTTCAGATAGTAAATAAGATCTTTTTACCAGAAAAAAACCCAAAACCAAACCCCACTGCCAATGAGTCGATTCCGACTCATAGAGACCCAGTACAACAGAGTAGAACTGCCCCGCATAGGGTCTCCAAGGAGTGGCTGGTGGAGTCGAACTACCGACTTTTTGGTTAGCAGCTGTGGCTCTTATCCACTGCACCACCAGGGCTCCAAGATCTTTTTAGGGTATCATTAAATGTTAAGAAATCTTTCATTAAAATTTATCATTAAGTAGTTAATGTATTTAAAGATAATTTCAGGTGGTCTTGTGGGTTGAAGCATAAAATAATGTATATATTTTCTAGGTTTCTGTTCTAAGGTTATAGATATTTACAAAACTAGTGATGTTAATTGACAAGCACTGGAGTTCACTTTTCTGTTTAAAGGATAAGTATGTTGGAGGATAATCATAAGTGCAGGTTCATACTTAATTTCTCATTTAGACGAAAGAAGGAATGGTGAACAGTTGGCTGTCGTTTTCACCTGTATGGCCAGTGGATTTTCTTGTTTTCAGGCCAGAGAGCTTGATCTAGGGCTTGGGGCTCTGGAAGTTTGTTTCCAGATAATATTAACGATAGGTGAGGTAGTAACGTCTTTCGTTTTATTTATTTATTATTTTAAATAGCATTTTATTGAGTTTTTGGTGAATGTTTACACAGCAAATTAGGTTTCCCGTTGACAGTTCCCACACAGATTTTTCAGTGACGTTAGTTACGTTTATCACACTGTGTCAACGTCTCTTTAACTGTGTTTAGTTCGTTCCATTTCCAATGCTCTGGTTTCCCTGCCCCCTTATCTTCTCATTGTTGCTTTTGGGTAATTGTTGACCTTTCAGTCTCATGCTGATGCTTTTTAAGTAGGACATCAATCTTACGGGTAATATCTTTTATTTTGTGCGCCACTCTGCTATTTCCCTAAAAGGTGATCCCAGAGTAGGCTCAGTTCTAGGTTTAAAGAGTGTCTCATGGCGTCATCAGGAGAAGGACATCATGCTTGGTAAAGTAGGGTCAGTGAGAGAGAGGAAGACCCTCAGCGAGATGGATTGATACAGTGGCTGCAACCAGGGGCTCAAGCATAACAACGATTGTGAGGATGGTGCAGGACCGGGCAGTGTTTGGTTCTGTCGTACGCAGGGTCGCTGTGAGTAGAAACTGACTCCAGGGCACCTAATAACAACGACAGGGTGATAATCGCATGGAATCCTCTGTTCTCTACTGTACCAGTTTGTTGGACTTTTTTTTTTTTTTAAATTGTGCTTTAGTTGAAGGTTTACAGAGCAAATTAGTTTCTCGTTAAACAATTAACACACATGTTGTCTTGTGACATTGGTTGCCACCCCCACGACATGCCGCGCTCTCCCCTTCTCAACCTTGGGTTCCCCATTACCAGCTTTCCTGTCTCCTCCTGCCTTCCAGCCCTCGCCCTTGGGCTAGTGTGGCCGTTTAGGCTTGTTTTGTTTCACGGGCCTGTCTAATCTTTGGATAAAGGGGTGAACCCCAGGAGTGGCCTCATTATTGAGCACGTTCTTTGTGCTAGGGACTATGATGGTGCTTGAAGGTTTAAAGACACCGGGATAATCATTTATTTAGTGCTTGTTAGGTGCCTGGCGCGGATCTGGGAGCTTCAAGTGCATTGTTTACTGACTGCATTTTACAAATGAGGAACTATTATGCCTAAGATTTTACAAGTAGGGAGGACAGAGCTAGCGTTTGCACCCAGGCCTGTCTGGCCTTTTCTTTTAGTTACTGTGAAACAGACCCTTCCCCATAAACATGAGACACGTTGAGCTGGAGGTATTTTAGTGGCTGAGTTTCATAGTTTTGCCTCGAGTTATATAACTAGGAATTTCTTTGCGCCTCGGTTTTCTGGTAGCACACTGCAAAACCACTTAAAACGTTTAAGTCTGTGATGATGCTGCTGTTTTGATTTTATATTTTTTTAAACCCATTTTGCAGTCAGTGTGATACCTGGCACGTGACAAATACCAGCCAGTAGCCTGACCTCAGAGCAGCACAAAATGATCATATTTGAAAACGTCTGATCAGCATTCGAATTGTCTATATCCTTTTTTGACATTCTGGAAAGACCACCTTTCGATCACCTTGTGAATCAGCTCACTGGTACCAGTGTGCTTTCTTTTCTCTCACAAGCACGCTGTCACACGCTGACAGCATCTCGCGTGGAATTCAGCATAAAAGCTTTTCGCTTCAAGCTGTGGCTCCTGACCTCACTGATATACAGATGTTCTCATAATTGCCTGTTTCCAGTCCCTTTATAAATCAAAAAAAGTGGAAAAGGGAAAATTATATGAGTAATTATAGTATTAAAATTAGCGTAGAAAACCATCTGAGTTCTTTAAAATTCTCTTTTCAACTTTAGTGGCAAATCACCCGCTTCCTAAATGGTAAGTGTCTTACATCGCCTGGCCTCAGATGATGAGTACACTGTTTGTTTATCAGCTGACACCTCTGCCTCTTATTTCACCAGAAGCATTATTTTCTTTTCTGATTCTAATCGTAGAGACTAGATTTGACTTCAGAAGATCACAGAACAAGCACAGCAAATAGGCAAGGACAGGCCCACAGCTGCTTTCTCATCTTTGGACACAAGCTATCAAAAAATGGAGTTTGATCATTCTTTCTTTAAGTGTTGATTCTTATTTAATTTTAGGACGATTTGATGAAAGTGTAATTGAGGAGAGAAGACAGTGTGCTGAAGATCTGCTCCAGTTCTCTGCAAACATTCCGGCTCTTTATAACAGCAAACAGCTGGAAGATTTTTTCAAGGTGTGGTAGTCTTTCTGGAATATTTTATATTTTATTAAGTATTTTGTTTTCTAATTTGTAGTTAAAGCAAGATTCAAAATTCTTTCTTAAATAAGAAAATGTTTGCTTTTGAATTTCATTTTTTACTAGAATAATGTGTGTAGGATCTACTAGCTAAATAACAACGTCTGTGGCATATTTTCTAATTTTAGTGCAGAAATGTATTAGATTTTTGATTTATAGATTTTTTTTTTTATTTGATGCAAAGGGCTTAGAGATGATCTAATTCACTCCATCATAATCGAAACTCTTTTTTAAAAAATTGAGGTACTGTGAAACTCCAGCAGTTATCTTCACTTGTCGAAGTGTCTTTCAGTGGCACACTTCTCTTGGTGATATAAACCACTACTAGCCCATATTAAATTGTTAACAATTTACTAATTTCTGTAAAGGTGTAACAGGAATGGATGCTACACAGTCACGCAGAGGTACTTTACGGTTATATGGATTACCCGAGATCATCGAATGTTAATGTTCTAAGTTTCTTGACATGTAACGTTTTCATTCTAAGCCCTTCATCATTTCCTGGTGGCGCAGTGGTTAAGAGCTGGGCTGCTAACCAAAAGTTCGGCAGTTCAAATCCACCACCTGTTCCTTGGAAACCCTATGGGGCAAGTTCTACTCTGTCCTACAGGGTCGCTATGAGTCAGAATTGACTGGACGGCAACGGGTTTGGTTGTTTTTTTTTTTTTTAATCATTTTAAATAATAGTTTTCTATTTCATTTTGAACTGAATCTGTGGAATTTGTCAGTTGATATCATTAACTACCACGTTTTTCCCACATTTTTCCTATTGCATTTAGCCCTGTAGAATAAAGCTAGGTAATTGTGCCATAATTTTCTCTTCTTTAGTAACTAAAACTCCACTCGTTTGCATAAACTTAGTTTCTTAGGATACATAGCCAGCAAGGTATGTGAGTGGTGAGATTTTTAATTTTCCTAATGCTGGTGGATCTACAAAAGGAATGTATTTTTTGTGGCCTATTTTAGTTTACCAAGGAAAGTTGATCTGTTGAAAGACATGGCAAGTTTATGACATAGTAATAGAAATAGTGACAGAGAAGTTTGTGCTAACAAGATTCCTGCTTATTGACCTTGTTGCTTAATACCTTGTTCCTCTGAGAAACTAGAGTGAGATCAGCAGTTTGGCTCTGCTTGTGACCCAATGCAGATTTCTAGGAGAAAATGCCCAGACAGATTGATAAAATATGTAGCTCTTTGCTATTCTCTATTACAGCTGTCTCTACGTAGCAACAGAGTTTATGCTCACAGAAAAGGCATTATTATAAAGCAAGAGGAATACTGCTTTTTGGGTGTTGTGAGAGACAGTCATGCAAAGTAACATATGCCACAGGACTGAAAAAAAATAATCTAGGGATTATGGACGTCAGATTGTAGACTTTAAATAATTGAAATGAAAATTACCTGTCCATTCTATTTCTTTTGGATCTGGGAATTCCTGATTGTAACTGTGGATGGAAGAAATTTGTTGTTTAGGCTTTGTGAAATGAGAAAAGAAGAGGGAGAAAAGATTGGGCAGTTTAAGAGAAGTCAGGCTAGTCTTGGAACCTATCTTGGAATATCTCGAGTAGTATGCTGGGTGGGAGAGAGATGCTGATTTGGTAACATCACAGTAGTGGTATCCAGTTTGTACAAACAGAGATAAGAAAATGTGTTTTTTGGGGGGGCTTATTTAGTTGCAAGCAAAAAAAAAAAGGCTCACCATATTCGTTTCAGCAAGAAAGGGCTTATTTGTCTCCTACACGAAGCCTGAGTGAGGAAGGCAGTGTAGAACTGGTAGAGAAGCTCAACAATGTCACCCAGGACCTGGGTTCCAGGCTGACGGCGTGAAAGGCCAAGGACCAAAAGAAAAATGTCACTTTTCAAAGCTTTCCCCAAACCTCTGCTAGAGAGAGTCCCTCTTGCATCTCATCGGCTACAACTGGGTCACTTGACCACTGCTAAGTGCAGAGTTCTGATTGTGGAAGAAGGCAGAAGAAAAGCGTGGGGAGGGGAGGTTTGTAGGTAGCCAGTGCAGAGGGTGTGCCATGGGGATGTGTTTGTTTTCACTGTAGAAACACTGATGGTACCACAAGCGAGTGACCATATAGCCATACGATTAGGTTGACTTTTTAAAACATACACAAGAACACAGAAGCAGAAGGAATAGTGTAATAAACCTCTATTAGCCTTTATCCAGCATAAAAAATTACCAGTGTATTGCTACACTTGTTTCGTCTATACCTTGCTACCCTATACTCTTTGCTGGTTGCTTATTTATTTCTTTACAGTTTTGTGAGGTATGATTTACATACCTTAAAATCCAGCAATGGTAAGTGTATAATTAATGGCTTTTATAAATTTATAGGTTGTGCAACTACCACCACCATCCAGTTTTATAACATTTTCATCACCTCAACAAGCTCCCCTTGTCTGTTTGCAGGGATCCCCCTTTCCCATCCCCAAGAAGGAACAGTGAACAGTTAGCTGTCATTTTCACCTGTATGGCCACAGGTTTTCCCTCAGTTGTTCTCAGGCTGGAGAGTTGATGTGGGATTTGGCCTCTGGAAGTTTGTTTCCAGATAATATTATTGATCAATGAGGTAGTAATGTCTTTCATTTTAGATGTGCTGTTTCATTGGGAGAATTGCCTGTAGTTTTTATGTATGAACTAAAGAACAGAAAAATAGATTTCGGCATAATAGGTTATGTTAGGTTAAGTTACTAGGCTTTTTCGTCTGTGGTGTTGGGTGGGTTCAAACCACCAACCTTTAGATGAGCAGCTGAGCATGAATTGTTTGTGCCACGCAGGGACCTAATTTCTACAGGGCGTTAGTGATGACCCCCGTTTTGGTGTTGCTTGTCGGAATTTTGCCTTTGTCTTTTCAACAGTTTGCCTCTCATGTCTAGGTGTTGATTTCTTTCATTTTATCATAGTTGGAGTCCATTTACTTTCTTGTATATGTAAATTAATGTTTGGAAAATTTCCACCCTCATCTTTAAAATATGTTTTTTCTGCTTCTTTCTTTTCTTGTCTCCTTCTGGTACTCCCATTACATGCAAGTTGGTGTGCTTGATACTGTTCCGTAGGTCTCTCTGGTTCTGTTGATTTTCCTTCAGTCTTTCTTCTCTCTGTTCTTCAGATTGGATAGTTTCTATTGAGCTTTAAGTCGTTGATTCTTTCTTCTTCGTAAATCTATTGTTGAGCTCCTCTACTGAGTTTAAAATTTTATTACTGTACTTTCAACTTGAGAATTTCCGTTTCGTTCTTTTATTATTATTATTATTGAGTTATACTTCACATAGCATCAAATTCACCATACTAAAGTGTACGAATTAGTGGTTTTTAGTACATTCACAAGGTAGTGCAACCATCACCACTACCTGATTCCAGAACATTTTTATTACCCCGGAAAGAAACCCTGTGCTTCCTAGCACTCCTCATTCTCCATTTCCCCAGTCTCTGGAACCACTAATCTACTTTCTGTCTCTATTGATTTGCCTATTCTGAACATTTCGTATGAATGGAGCCATGGCCTTTTGTATCTGGCTTCTTTTACATGGCATGATGTTTTCAAGGGTCATTCATGCTGCAGCATATACCAGTATTTTATTCCTTTTAATGGCTGAATGGTGTTGTATGATTATGGATATACCTGTTTCGTTTATCCACTCATCAGTTGATGGACATTTGAATTGTTTCCACTTTTGGCTTTTATGAATAGTGCTACTTTTGAAAAATTTAATTTCTATTCTCTATTTCATGAGACACAGTAATCATACTTTTGCCTTTGATTCTTTAATCATGATTTCCTTCAGTTCTTTGAACATATTTTTGATAACTCCAGTCTCCTAAGTACAACATATTGGCCCCCTCAGAGATCACTTTCCTGTTTTTTTGCATGTCTTATAATCTTTTTTGTTGAAAACTGGAAATTTTAGGTAGTATATTGTAGCAAGTCTGGGTTCTGATTTTTCCCCAGAGTTTTGTTGTTGCCATATATATATATTCATATGTTGGAAACCATGTTGGCATAGTGGTTAAGAGCTATGGCTGCTAACCAAAATGTCAGCAGTTCGAATCCTCCAGGTGCTCCTTGGAAACCCTATGAGGCAGTTCTACTTTGTCCCATAGGGTCGCTATGAACCAGAATTGACTCGATGGCAATGGGTTTGGTTTATATATATATATATATATATTTTTTTTTTTCCTAGTTTTTTTTAGTAACTTTGTTTGCCCTGTTTGCCCTGGGGTGTGTGATTGCTGATATCTCTGCTCAGTTTTTTACTTTTATTTTATTTTTAAGCCTGGCGACTTAGGGGTTGGCGCTGTGTCTACACAGCTTAGTGGCCAGCCAGTGATTAGTCATTGCTTGTGCTTGAACACCTTGTACCATTAAGTGCTGGTTATTCTTTGTGTGTTCTCAAAATTTCAGGCAGTTTAAGTCTGCCCTGGCGTTTACTTCCATCTGGTGTCCCACATTTCCTCTGTGTGTGTGCAGGCGTATGGTCTGCCAGCGATAACTTGGTCCCTCTCTGGTCTCTCCTACGTGGATGGGTAGAGAGCATTTTGAGTGGTGCAAATGGTTAACTTGCTTGGCAACTAACCAAAAGGCTAGAGGTTTCAGTCTACCCAGAGGCGCCTTGGAAGAAAGGCCAGGCAATCTATTTCCAGAAAACCAGCTATTGAAAACCCTGTGGAGCATGGTTCTACTCTGACACATGTGGATCAACCATGAGTTGGAGTTGACTCTGTGGCAACTGTTGATGGTGGTATGGCTGTGTTATTTTCTGCATCTCTCTGTTAAATTTCTGGCCTATGTGCCAGACCTTTGCTGACTGCACCTTCAGGCCTGCTGAGGCACTCTTCTCTCTGTTTTTTGGCACCGAGATTGCTACTATTACCGACAACACTGTTTGGAATAGATTCTTTCCCCCCTTTTGTGCTTAAATCCAAAACA